GGTGATCCTAAAATTTCCTACAACTCCTGACTGAAACTAACGAGCCAATACGGTGATCCTACGACCTCCTACGATTCTGGGAAGCAACTAGCAAGTGTGTACGGTGATCCTACGACTCCGGACAACAACTAAGAATTTCGAATAGTACCTGTATGGGTTCCTATGAACCCAAACAGAAATGGGCAGCACCTATGCGACTTCTTACGAACCCAAACGTTAGTGGACACCACCTAGATGACTTCCTACGAACCCAAACAGTAGTGGACAGCTCCTAGGTGGCTTCCTATGAACCCAAACAGTGGTGGACAGCTCCTAGGTGGCTTCTACGACACCGGATAGTGGCTTTGGAGCCTCAGACAGCACCCTACAGCGCTCTTATACTTCAAACAGTGGTTTTGGATCTTCGGACAGCAGTCTACAGTGTTCCTACACTCCAAACAGTGTTTTGGAGCCTTGGACAACACCCTACAGCGTCCCTGCACTCCAAATAGTGGATTTGAAACTTTGGACAGCACTCTACAACACTCTTATACTCCAAACAGTGACTTTGAAGCTTTGGACAGCAGTCTACAACGCTTCTGCGACACCAGGCAGCAACTTGGAGCTTTGGGTAGTGGTCATACAGCTTCCTACGACATCGAGCAGCAGCTAGGAGCATTGGACAGCGCCTCACAACATTCATATGACACCGGACAGCAGCTTGGAGCTTTGGACAACACCCTACAACATTCATATGACACCGGACACCGGCTTGGAGCCTTAGGTAGTGGTCCTACAGCGTCCCTATACTCCAAACAGTGGCTTTGGAGCCATGGACAACACTCCATAGCATTTTTACGACACCGGGCAGCGGCTTTGGAGCCTTGGACAACACCCCTACAACACTCATATACTCTAAAAGATGGCTTTGGAGCCTTGGACAGCACCCTACAACACTCTTATACTTCAAACAGTGGATTTGGAGCTTTGGATAACACTTATACAACTGTTTCTCGGCCCAAAAAGCACTAAACAACAACCTAGAGCACTTATAATCTTTCAAACAACACTTCCTAGCACTTTCTCAACTCAAAACAGCATTAAACAGCAGCTTACTGCTCTAAACGGTCATTTAAATATCCCAAGCAGCAATTTCGAAGTTCCAAACAGCACCCTACGGCCCTCCAACAGCTCTCGCAGCAGTTTTCCAAGTATTTTTCAGCATTTTTCAGCCTTCTTAAAACCACCAAACAACAAAGGAACATTCTCAAAACAATCCCCAAACTACAATTATGTAACTCTTTAAAAGATACCCTTAAGCCTTTCAAAATAGTGACAAAACCTCTCCAACTAGGTGTAAAAACTACAGCGAAACCAGTCCCAAAACATCTCAAAAAAAAAAATATTTGCATTTAAGGGCTTCAAAACCTTGAGCAAATTAGCACTTAAACGGGGCACAAAACCTTTAAAAAACATTGAACGAATGGGCCCTAAAATCTGCATTTAAGGGCTCCAAAACAGTACGCAAATCATCACTTAAGTGGTGCATAAAGTCTTCTAAAAACAGTGAACGAATGGGCCAAAAAATCTGCATTTAAGAGCTCCAAAACAGTGAACATAGTGCTCAAAAAGATGAAAGTGTAAAGCAAGTGTAGCCCCTAAATAGTTTCAAAAAACAGTAAAATGTGCATTTTCATGTACAGTTAATGCGACATGTATAATATAAATGAAATTTAGTTATTAGATAGGTGAACGTGTACAAATTGTGTGGCATGTAGGCAAATTTCTTGAAAAGAATCTGCCCGCATTTCATTTATATTAAGCATACCTTTCAAGGGGAGCATGTCACCTAAACCAACATTTATGGTTAGGCTAATAGAAGTAACTCAATGCTACAGAGGAATTGTCAATTAATTTTTTTTAGGCTCAAAATTATCAAAACGTCATAGCTGCACAAAGAAACTCATACATGGATATAAGCAACACAAGTCTCCAAAAGGATAGTATCAAACCTATGAGATTTTCCAAATCACATGAATGCATGAGCCTTTTAAATCTTCGCAATTATTGAATGGAATAAAACCATTGGCATTTGCATCAAGTACAATAAACAAAATAAAATTCACAAATCAATCCAGTAAAGGGAAGAGGAGGGGAAAATGTCAGTTTCAAATACTTGGATGAAGAGAAGTTTCGACGCAGAGAGACTGAAGTTAGTGAGGCTCCTGATCACACGAATGAAGAGGAGCGGAGGAGGCTTCTGTCGAGCGAGGAAAAAGCGAGGCAGTCGAGAGAGCTTCGGTCGTGCGAGAGATGAGCAAGGAGCTTCGGTTCGCACGCAAAGGGGGAAAACAGGAGTCGAGCGGGGGCTTCGCTCGATGCAGAGGAAGGAGAGACGAGTGAGAGATTGGTATCAGACCCGAATCGAAAGCTTCGGTCGCGCGAGAGATGAGCAAGGAGCTTCGGTTTGCACGCAAAGGGGGAAAACAGGAGTCGAGCGGGGGCTTCGCTCGATGCAGAGGAAGGAGAGACGAGCGGGAGATTGGTATCGGAACCGAATCGAGCGAACCAAAGAGGAAGAAGGCGAGCATGAGATGAAGGCGAGCGTGAGATGAAGGCGAGCTGATGGGGTTTGGTCTTCGGTCGAGTGAGATGGGGAAGGCTAGGGTTTCTGTTCGTAGAGGAGGCGCGGGTGAGGCGCAAGAGGAGAGAGAGAGGCGAGAGTCTGCGGCATAGCAAAGAGTAGAGCGCTTCGTCTCTTTAGCGGGATCGAGCAGAGAAGTCTCGGGAGAGGCAGAGGAGGAAGACTTCGGAGGAAGAAGGCGATCCCTCCTTTTAGAATTAGAGCGGGGTCAATTAATCAGAAGCCGTTACTCTAGAAGTAATTGGCGGGGAAATAAATGATTTCCATATGTAGGGAGGTTTAATTCGAAGGTATTAACACCTGAATAATTTTAATTAAGACAAGATTTAAATAATTCGTTTGAATTTTGAAATTTGAATTTCAAATTCGGGTGAGCTGGGGCCTAGCCCGTGTTCAGCCCGAACCCAGCCTGAATGGAACCCTAGTCGAACCTGGGTTAAGCCCGGGCCTGCGCACCGCTAATAAAAAAAATGTGTATCGATATCTGTGCTAGTTGCTTGCGAGTGAAACCATATCGATATGGGTGTTCTTCCTAGCTAAAGTCGACGTCCTGGACGCATCCGTGTGGTCCGTTTCGTCATCCAAGGTCGTCCGGACAAGTTTGCCGACGGGCGAGTCAATTTAAGCCAAAATCATGCGGGGTGCGATGCGTGAGCAAAATGCGGGGTTATCAAACGTTCGGGTCGCAAAGGGGTTCCCTATGGGCTGCTCCTATTAATGTAGGAACTCGACTCAAGTTTCATGTGTTGATCCTAATCAACTCAACGGAATGTCGAGGATTTAGGACCGCCCATGCGAAACTTAAAGGAGTGACGAGGTGGCTCAAATTTTTTAAATGGTGTGGGTTCCATACTAGTCCTCTATGGGGTCAAACAAGAGAAGCCTAAAGCTAGACCCTAGACTCTAAGGAGAGAAGTGAAGACCTCATTCGAAAATGAGGTCAACAATAATCAAGTTCATATAAAAAGAAAGAAATCATCTAACGACCTTAAGGATGAAGTTTTTGGTGTATAGCATACACAACAAGAAATTGAAAGAAAAAAAATTTTAAAAAAAAGATGTTTGAAGAATGATGAAGATCCTCTTTTATGTGAAGATATGTCAGATAATGAGTGGTTTGTAGATGAAAATAATGTGGTCACACCAGATGAGTTTCAGCAAGAAGATCTAAACATTGATTTCTTTCAAGGTGGCAAGAGCAAATGTAACACATCTAAACTAAACAACAAGAGACAAAAAGAAAAACTTTTTATAAAAATTAATGTATTCGAAATTTTCTTGAAGGTTAACTTTCAGTTTTTTATTTGATTTATCTTTTATTACTGAATAGGGAAAAGTAAGATGACTGAGATTGAAAAAAAAGAAGATTGGGAAAACATAGACTAACTTGATAAAGAGCTAGGAGAGAAAGTTATAAGTTATAATGATGATTCCAATAAAGATCCCTTAAACCATGAGAGTGTTGACGACTTTTAATTCATTTTTATCTTATTTACAATTATGTAAGATATTATGTTAGAAACAAAAGGAGTGAAAGGTCTTTTATGAAAAATTTATTAAGTATCTTATTTATATATTTTGTGCAATTTATCACTTCTTATCATGTTATGATGTTAATAGATTTTCTTTTCATACATTTATAAATTATGATGCTCTTATAATTTTTTTATATTTATTTTACTATGCATTTTTAAATTGGGGGCTTACGCCTCAAACCTCCTCATGGCTTACACCTCGCCTCACAAAAAAAAAAATGCATCCATGCTCATCCATATTAAATAAAAAATAACACAAACATTTATCAACCCAAAGTTAACCTGAAAGCTTAATGATAAGTATAAGTCACCTTAATGATAACCATGTGTCATGTGTCCGGAGTTTATGGAAAAAATAACTATAGTTTCAAAATGGGCTACACCATTAGACAGAGAGAGAGCCTAGGCATTAAGCAACATGCCAAACAATTGAAAAAAAGGGAGCAATGTGACCACAAAAGGGGTGATTAAGCAACACGCATGAGGTTCAACATTACCATGGCTGCAAGTTTATATTTGAGGTAAAGTGTAAAATATATTCTTAACTTGGTATCAAGCAAAATAATAAGAAGTTCAACTATAATACTACGCAACAATGAGGACAATATATGTTTTGCTTCTACAGCTTAATTTTCAATTTCAAATAGTCTCACTTTTGTATATATTTCTTGGTATCCCATTATTTCAATAAAAGAAATGTTAATTAAAAAAAACAAAAAACAGCTGAATAAATAGAAGAATTTGAATGATATAATTTTGAGAATTATTGTAAAGAAGCCAAAAGAAATTTTAAGTACTGGATTTATGCAGTAAGACATGCTAAAAAGATACAATGATCCTACCTTTCTTCAAGCACTGCAGAGCCTTCTTCAAATAGTTCTTCAATAGCACCAACAGTTGAAGATTTATTTGTGAGCTTACTGAGAGAATTTTGAGGCATGCCAAAAAGTAAAGATTTAAACTTATTCCGGTGCTTCCTAGGAGATGCTGGTAAAGTGGAATGATCCAATGGAATGATATCAACAACCAAGCAAGTTGTATCATCCTTAAGGCCACTCGTTCTCAATGCTTCCTAAATGTATCAAAAGTATAATGATTGAACAACATAGAACTACAATAAAGACAACAAAAAGACGGCAAGAAACAAGAGGAAGATGGCCATTTCATGATTAGCATTACCTTAACAACTAGTTTGGCAGCAAGCTCAGTAGACAATCCTCGACAACACTTGGCAGCAATCTCAGATGAAAGTGCATCCCATATGCCATCTGAAGCTAAAATAAGTCGAGCTCCGGAATCTGGAAGCTGCTCAGTAACCAACATGACAAGTTATATAAAGCCACAGAATGCTTTGAAGCATGGACCAGAAGATAACTAACTTTAACTTGCTTGACATGAGGAATTGGGACTATGAATTCCCCAACATCCATATCGCCAATTGACCTTGAAAGGCACAACCCACCGGGCCAGCATCGGAGAGGACCAACCTAGAACTCATTTTTTGTTAATTATCTTAGTTGAAATTTGAGATTGAGTGCAATATGATGTTGGTTACACAAAAACAAAAATAAAAAAAATAAAAATGCAAACTGAATCATGAAGTATATTATAGATCAGTTCAACATAAGAAACTGTTAAAGTAGCTTATAAGACTAAATGATCTTGAGCTAGTGTGGCCAGTGTGAGAAATTATAAAAGAAATTGCATCAACCTGATTGGAAGGCAGCATTTGATTAGCAATGTTAAGAAAAAAAAAAGAAATATTCAAAAATTATTGTAATTATCCGGAAATCAAATTTATGGATCACACAATTAAAACGTGGAAGATGGTCATGGAACACGAGGTAGCAGAAGCATATTGATTTCAATAAATCACATTGAATTTGTGCTAAGAAGAACAATTTTTTTTATTAGCATGAAAGATGTATAAACGGAAATCACGATGAGTACCTTTTAGTATTGAGGAAAACAATGGATACTAGTGAACAAAAAAAGAGATTGCAAGATTTAAATAGGGCAATATGAGACCGACCTAAATGTTTTTTTGAAACTTTCGCAATGAGACTTGTGCCTCATTGAGTACTACATGAATCTTATGCCTCACATAATGCTAGGCTTGCCACAAAGTGTAAATTGCCTCAATTATATTGAAGTGTATTGAGTTATGTCTAGAGCTTTTTTAATAATAAATATAGTAAAATAGCCTTAATAAACATTCCTCACTTACCCATATAATACACATTTTATGATGAAATTGAAGTTGTTATTATAAACACAAACATAATTTTAAAATTAAAATAAATATGATTGAGATTTAAGATGAAGAGGAAAAGAGAATATGAATAAAACTGAGGATGAGGTGAGAGAAAATAAATCATTATACTGGCAATTCTGATGAATGCTCATTAAGTGATAAGAGTGATAAGAGCCTTTGAATTTAAAAATTCAACCTAAGCAGCTTATTATGTTCTTAACTTGATAGACAACGGTAAAAGGGTGAAAGACACGAATTGTATCTATTTTGAATTGATATGTTATTATGTCATACTTTGATATTTATATAACTCTTCTTACTTTATGATTAAATGTTTGAATGTTAATATGTTACTTCTTACTTGGAACAATTTATTAATTTTACCATATTACAATTTTAATATGTTACACTTTAACCAATTAATAAGCTAAAATAATAATAGGTTACTTCTTCCTACATTCATTGAACTCAATACAATACTTTTTGCTTGATGTAATTTGTTGATTTTGAAGCTTACACAAAAAAAATTATCACGAGACTTGCATCTCGCCACACGAACAAAAAACATCTCAATATCCAATTGCACAATTTTAAACTTTGAATTGTTGCAATTGTAAATGGCTCAAACTTTTTGGAAGATGTTTATATAACACAAGCATATAAAAACACATATTCAAAGAATCACTTTTAATTTACGTGATGAAGATCTACACTCTTTATCTATACTACTAGCATAAAAAGTGGGTTGAAACTTTATTCATTGATAATTTTATTCTTTAAAAATAATCATGTAATCACAAATGCTAATCTTATTTATGATCAACCCTCAAAATGACATGCCCAACCTATGAAAATAATTAAGTGGCATATAGTATGACAGCCGCAAAGTATTAGAACAATGTGTCTCCAAAATATGAAGTCCTTGCTTCTTAAGGTTTTGAATTTTTATGCCTGCTCTTTCTCTGCCCCTCCTTATAGATCTTGTGCATGTGTTCTAATGCTGCTATGGAGAAGGCACTTTGAGCCACAAACGAGTCAAATTTCTAGAAAAGTATTTACACAGACGGTTTAATGAATTCATAGCATTCCTCCATAAAATAACTTTAATTCTTTTTCATAAATTAATTGGTCTCCACGCCTCTCGTATAGCACATCAATGTCTTGTTTTAGAAAACGTACAGTTTTTCTAGTTATGTTTTTTGACTTGAAAATTTTAAGTTTATATGCCTCGTAATAGTTGTAATCGGAAAAAATATATCCAATGTTTTCTAGTGAAAATATGCTCAAAAATTATTTTGTATCATATCCTAATATTTTCCCAAATAAAGAAAAAGAAATCCCCCCTTCCACGCTCTGGTTTTATCTCTTGTAGTCAGCATCATTTCCTCTAAGATTTCTTCGCTCAAAAAAATAAGATGACTGCAATAATGAAGCTTAATCAAAAAAATCAAATAGATGAAATCAGCTAAAAAACAACTTTTGCGAACGTCAATAATTATTTGTTTTCAACGTTTCTATAGTATAACATAATTAAATTATTTTGATAGAGCTCTAACACAAAATAAGATATAAACTCAAAGAGACTTTCAAAATTTGTTAGAATATGTGTTTGAATCTTATTAGATCCATAATAAAATATGGTTTGAAAATATTTTAAGCTTTTCGAACCATGTTTGATCATGGTTTGAAGAAGGTTCAAACCATATTCAAGCGTGACACTAACAAGATTTTAATATATGTTTTAACAGCAATAAAGTTATATGTTAACTGGTTATTTTATAAAGGTGAATCAAGTAGCAGTATTTTTGTACTGAATAGAGGTGAAAAAAAAAACAATTAGGTTAGCTGGACATTGCTAGAAAATGGAGCAAATAACTGGAAGCACAAAGAGTATTTCTCTTGAAGATCTAGTTGATGTTACATATAAAGTGATATACCACTTTGATAGAGCACACCGCAAAATTTTAATTCCTCTATTTGCGCTATTAACAAATTATGAACCTATTCTTTTCTTAAAAAGATATCTATATCCATCCAACACCGATCTCACATGTGTGTGTATTATCTCAAAAAAAATTACAGCTACAAATTTCTATGCGAATGAGGATGATGCAAGATTAATTAGTTCACCATCTTCTGCAAGTATAGGAAACGATGTGGACATACCACATGCAAAAGTCATTGATATGAGCATAAAAAACGTAAAAGATGGTGACTCCATGGATGCTTCAATATTAAAGTGTCCAATGGAGATTACAATTCAATCTACAATCTACCTAAAGCTAACAAATAGATGATATTTTGAATTTTCATGAATTTAAAATCTGAAAACAGCAATTCAAGATACATAAATATATAAATTACTCCTATCCTACAAGATTTAGTGCCTGAAAGTACCTCCAATTCAATAGTTATTGATACAATGACCAATGTTTGAGTTTATTATTAATTCATTTGAAAGTCTAGCAACTTTTTAAGAGAAAAAAATATTAAAGAGGATGTCAGATCTATTACGATGAAATAAAGTTTAAAATTTTGAGGTGAAGAAATCACATTAAAAATATATATAGTATATCTTATGCACTTCATAGAAAAACTGATGCATTTAGCGATTTATGAAGTAGTTACACTCAAATACATTTAAGATGAGAAGCCATAAATCAGAAAGTACTAACATTTTCAATGTTTGATAGAAAGATCATTGATAAGCTCAATGAAGGTTCATTGGGCATACAATCAAAGAGAAACTCATCCGATATGATCTAAGTTTGAAGATAAAGATGAATATATCAAATGTGATGGACTATGGTGTTGATGTATACTATGGAAAGATTTAGCGATGTCATAACAAAAATATCATTTAAGTAAGAGGGGCCCCCAAAGCATTATGTCAAAACTTTTCATCATATATGATTATGTTACATATAAAAAAAATCTGAAACCATTGTTAATCTTCCCTTGACAACACGAGATTTTCAAAGAACGTTTACTTCTCTTCGGGTGTTTGTGCTCAAAGCTTCCAAAAATATTTTTCATCAGCATTAAGTGTCGATAAAATATTTATAAATATACATTATGGATAAACTTTGTTTTTTAGGATGGCACAAGATATTAGTACTCAAATTCATCCGGCTCATTTATAGTCGTCGACTCAAAAAATAACAAGTGATTGAGGCATTCCATAATTAAACAGAGAAGTCACTAAACACAATGAGAATTTTAATAATTGTTTCTGATAGACATAATAGTATTACCAATACTTTATCAGCAATTTTTCATAGGCAAGTTATGGAACTTGCACTAATCAAGTTGATCATATGACAAAACTCAAAGCTAATAGTTATTGTGAGGAATATCACTTGGCTTTTAATGTTTACATAATAGTATAGTTTTATAAGAACTTTAGCGAAATATGTGTCAAGAACCTGACCATAAATGCTGATATAGAGAATTAAGTTAGTTTTGAACGCTGAGCTCACATTTTTTCTCAAAAAACTGATATAACTTAGCGACAACAGATATTTCAAAGAAATTCAAAAAAAACACCAAGAGTGGCACAAAATGAGCCACCAAAAGTAAATGCTCCTATTCAATAATCACTCTCAGTGATCACTCTATTAGAGTTTTTGAGTAACACAATATAGACATAGTTCTTCAATAAACTTCCCAGTATAGCAATGCCAAAGCTATTTTGGTGCAGGAATTGAAGAAGTGTTAAAAAAGCTTTTGCATATGGCTCAAAATTTAATTGCCTACCTTATTAGTCAATTTGAACTATATGTAAATATTAAAAAATTTTGATATATGTATCTATCTATATATGTCTATGAATATCTATGCATCTGTGTGTGTGTGTGTGTGTGTGTGTGTGTGTGTGTGTGTGTGTGTTGATATATCTATCTATATATGTCTGTATATATCTATGAATCTATAGATAACAAAATGAAAGGATTGGCAACGGAAAAAAAATATAAGCCAAATACAGCAGTATAGTAGCTGAGTAAAAAGACATGCAAAATTGAGTACTCCAAACAAAACACCCTATGTAGCGTAAAACATAAATTAAAAAAACAGAAATTAGGCTAAGATATATGATATTGATGATGAGAAGTGCAACAGAACTATTTCCTGATTAATACCTCCTGACCACCGCAAAGATTGAGCCTCCCCACTTCACCCCCACTGGCTGTTACTCGTTCTCTCTCCTCTTCATTCTCCTCCAGCCTATGATCAACAGTCAGCAAAGAAATTGCCCCATCCTTGGAATCCAATATACACCGGGAATCACCCACAGAAGCAACGGTCACGGTTAATCCATCAATCACTACAAGAGTAGCCGTAGTCCCAGACGCCTCCCCTGCCATAAATCATAAAATCTCAAGTTCAAAAGACAAAATCTCTGAATTAAAGCAGTTCTTTATGCCAAGATCGTGCCTTTCCTTTGGAATTCGATATCAGTCTTCACAAAACCTGCGACCAGTGCCCGAGGAAGGGCATGGAGCCATTCCTCCCTCCCAATACCAGGCGGAATAGCAGCCATTACGTGGTCCAGCAGATGCTCCTTCGTGAAAACCGCCGCCGATACCCCATTATGCCCATCGAAAATCTACGGCCATCGGGCACGCGAATGTAAGCCGCGGAATTACAGAATTCCAGAAAAAGAGGGAAAAAAGAGACTACCGCGAATACAGAGAATGAAGTGGACGGGTTTCCGGGGATCCGTTGGCAGTCGGGCTTGATGAGAAAGTAGTCCTCGCCGCGCTTAGCAAGCCCAGCGTGGCCGTGGCAGACAAGCGGCTTCTCCGTGTTGTGTCCCCTGAGCTCCCGGCCAATAAGAGTAGCGAGGGCTATAGGGTGAGGACGCTCACTCTGATCTCGAAGCTGCGTATTGTTCATTTCGCAGGAGGTTTCCAGGTCGGAACCCTAGTTCACTCCATGCGTCTTGCGGTCAATACTCACTCCCGCTTCACCTCAAAAGCTGCATTTCCACCATCATCAACGAATCAAATGAAAGAAGACTGGAACCTAATTTCCAGCTAACCTGAGAAAATTTCAACCGGGAGCAGGAGTGGAAGAAAAGCCAGAGCGAAAGAGATTGTTGGGTGTGAACGCTCATAGAAAAAAATTAGTCCTTTGGAAATTATCATTAAGAACAAAATCATCATTTAATGTCATTGGGATTGATGAAACACAAATTTCTTGATGTCAATAATCTTCATCTTAGGCACTGATCCCAACAAACTAACAAATGCTACTAATTTTAATGTATATCGTAATCATAACTAAAATATTAGAATAATATTTTAAAGTTCACATAAAAAGGAAAAGAAGTATAATTAAAGATGAATACATATAATTACTATTTTTTGTATATTCGTATGGTGGTCTGTCGGTAGAGCAGTTAGTCTGAAGGTCGTAAGCCCCCTCAGGTCATCAGTTTGAATTATTTCGTGTGTAGAGTGTAGTACTCAAATATTTAGCACATCTATGGATGGTCATAGCTTCCAGTCATTTCTCTTAAATTTAAAAAAAAAAATGTACACTGATATTCATTTAGGCCACTCAGATTAAAGGTTCGTTTGGGGCAGCTTAGTTGGTGCGGTGACGTTTTGAAAACACACCTAACATGTTTGGGTAAACTGTCTTTTGACAGCTTGTGCATTTTTAAAACGCTAAAAATAGTATTTTCACACCGCATCTATCTAGGTGCGGTAACAGCTTTCTGGCAGCGGTCTGGGTTTTCAAAAAAAATAAAAATTTGCAATAGCCACCACATCTAACTTATCAAAATATTATTTTTAATCAGTTTATCAGCAGATTATTCAATAAGCTGCAGCCACCCCAAACAGACCCTAATACTTACATTAAGTTAACTTTCCTTATTGAACTTGATTTCATACTCTCAAGATATCTCACCCTTAACTTCAAACTCAAGCAAAATTGATGTTGGATTGGCAACTAATAGTGAGACAAGTCCTCCATATAATATGAAATACAAAATTAAATAATTATACCTTATAATTTTTTATTAAGCTGATATTATATTATTATATTGAAATCTTAATAATAAATAAGGGGTCGAGAGTCTCTTGTGAGCATGACAGTCACATACATTTGTGGCTTTTATTATGCTAAAATCTAAAAAAATTTTCTAATACTTTGGCTCTCTTTGAATTTTCTATAATGTCCCTCTCTATTTGCTCTTATACTTTCCATTGATAATTGAGGATTCACTACTCTAAAAAAAAATTGACTGGAATTTTAATGAAAGAGCAAGATTTATGCAAAGCTTATAAATCACTAAAAACTTCATCTCCTTTAGGAAACTAAACCAGATGGAATAACATTTGATAAAATTAATCGAGAAAACTACATAAGATCTTCCACACGGTGCTCCATCTTTAAACTTTCTTGAGAGCATGATTTTATTGGCTCCAACCCACCTATGTGATGACATACAAAGAAATATTGTAATATTACCTAATAATAATGGTATTATTGATAAAAATGTGGGATAATATGATGTTATAATTTTATATAAGAGATCTAAAAGAAGATATAAGAAAAGATGCCTATTGAGATTGGACCATTTTTCTTACCTCAACATGAGCAAATACTCTAAAAAACGTTCTATTATTAATTTTAATGTCTTAAAATGTAAAATCGGTAATGTCCCCTAATAAAAGCCATGTCTTCCCTAAGGTTAATTATACTATTGTACACTCTTAATAAATGAGTCATGCAAGTATTCTAATTCACTTGGGCAAATCAAAGAAATAAACTATGATTCAAAATCATCATGCTAATAAGCTAGTTAAGTTACAAAGTAAGTTAGGTCACAGAATGAGAGGTAAATCACAATAACCAAGTAGATGACCACCTTTAACTTAAATAATCAAATATAATGATAATTAATGAATCATTAAATGTCAATAAGAGTGAATGAATTCATAAGAATAATAGGTGTATATAAGATATCAAGAAAAAAGAGAAAAAAGATTATATCAAGAATTCATTAATATATTATTTCATGTTATTAAGTTGAATATTAATTAGTCATAAAAGCAGTTGGCCCAACACGATTGTGAGTCACTTGCTCGTCTAGAAGAGTTGAAAAAGGATAATCTGACTATAGAATTTAAAATTATAGAACAAGACATATACATGAAGGCTTTTTTACTATATCAATAGAAATAATCCATGGCATGGCTTATGCACAAACTAAAGTTCTATGCAAATAAGCTATGCTTGTAGCTTTCTTAAAAGCCGCAAGATGGAAATCAATCAAAAGTCGAATGGCTACAACATTTTTTATCTATAAAAACTAAGATTTTTTTAAAAAACTAATTAAAAATTATTTACAGTTATAGAGATAATATTTTCGAGCTTTGCATTTACATAAGTGTTAAGATAAATCATAACCCAATATAAAAAAAAATACACAATGATGAAAATATCAAAACAAAAAGATAACCTTTAATGCATAAAATAATAATAAGAGATTGGTTGAATTTGGGTTTGAAAATATAAACCTAGTGAAAATAAGAGAAAAAGAAAGCTACCTTCGCATAAATATATCATAGCAAAAATATAAGGAGAAGTTACAGACAGAGCACCATAAGCTTTGCTATTTACAAATCAATCACCATCTTCATTCATTTTTTTCAATACTCACTCAAATATCAAAATTCACGATAATACTCCAGCCCAAATTTTAATGTTTATCAAATTCTCAATGGTTTGATCGTGACACACGTAAATGCATCGGTTTGACGATCCAAAAAATCACCTGAGTTCTTTATTTGTAAAAATCAATGTTCCATGTTGGAACTAGTGTCACGAGCTTTAATATAAGGTGTGTTATGATGTATGTAATCCTTATCTCTCAAACCATCTTGAGTGCTTCTAAATTAGTAACAAATGGAATATACTCTTAGATGTCTGAGTGCACTAGTTGTTAAATCTTACATAATATCTCACTTATATACTGTGTAAATAAGTATACTTGAACTATATATATGTGTATGTATATATATATATATATATATATATACATACACATATATATAGTTCAAGTATACTTATTTACACAGTATATAAGTGAGATATATATATAGATATATATAGATATTTATATATATATATATATATATATTCATAGGAATGGTCGGAGGCTATTATATTAGCCCTGGTCATCCCTCATGTGCTTTAGACTTCGAGTACCACACTCTACACTCAGGGGAAATCAAACCTCAGACCAGAGGGAACTTACAACAGACAAGCAGATGTTCGACCAACTGAATAGTTAAAAGAGCAGCTCGTGGCTCCTTACGCGTTAATTAAAAAGAAATTACAAAGTTTGGGAGAGATAGTGGATCCCCATCTAAAAGCAAAAAAATACATTATAGTCCTAGGGGTTTCAGTCTCTGCAGTACAACGCAACGCGAAATAAAAAAAATACCTAAAAAAAATAACCATTCAAAAAATAAATGTAATTGTCCAAATTGTATACCAAAGGAATAGTATACCCAAAAAAAACTACATGTGCACGAAATCCCAATCCAACAGCAATGTCGAGCAGCAACATCAAAATGAAGGCTTTTAGTTCCAGTGAGAAGGCAAAATTTAAAACCTGAAAAAAGGATCGCATCGAGTTGAAATGTAGTGAAGGATCCCTAGCAATCCCGGTGTATAATAACAAGCCCATTAAGCCAAGAGTCATCATCAAGATCCTGCATAAACATACATCGAAACCTGCACCGAAAATAAGATCCAAATATCTGCAATGTATGAGGGAGGAGAAAAAAATCACCACTCCAAACCCAGTACAGTTACTGTACCGATAAATGAAAATCAAATAAATATAATATATATATATATATATATTATATATATTTGCTGGATTTTCATTTATCGGTATATTAAAAAAGAATTACCATAGACTATTATACGAGCATTTAGCCACTTCTAATGTGTCTAACAATTTGAGTATCATCCTTCTTAAGGCTCATATCGCCAGAGGGGGATTCGAACCCCAAACTGAGGGGTCCTACATCAAGGATGTCTACCAACATACCGAAGTACGTGGCACAACTATATATGTGTGTGTGTGTGTGTGTGTGCTCGTGCGTGCGCACATGCACCAAAGGCTGCACCATTATTTGATTTGGCCATTCAAATAATTTAAGGAAGATTACATACATATCTCTTGGTTCTTATGTGTTTGAATATTTAACACCAAAACTTCAGTCCTATGCATGAAAAGGTGTATTTCACTTTTTAAAAGTTAAATTGGTGATATTTTTTATGTGATATGAAAGTTTTGGGCCATATAAATATAAAAAAAAACAAAACTTAAGTGTTAAATATGTAAATACATATGAATTAAGTGGTATGCATGTAAATGCCCTTAATTTAATAATATACATGAAACTCACCTAGCTTTTGCCTCTCTGGCATTTTTATTTAGCCACATAGCATGTGCAAAAAGTAAAATAAACTATAATTGTATTCTTAGTACCCACAAATAATAATAATATTTATCACAAATCTAGCTTTAAAGTGACATTAATGAGCATAATCAACCATAATGCCTTAGTCTAACATTCACAAAGACATAATCATGGTGATGTCGACCCTAATTATAACATACATTCGATTAAATAAACAGTCATAGGTATATTTATCATCGTATAAATAATCAATGGATTTCTTCTATTGGTTGATAAATCCAAAAAGATCTCATGATCACCCAAAGTTTGGTCCTAATTAGCTTAAATTATGTGATGGATTGAAATTCTGGCTAAGCTAAGCTTGTTTCCCAACTTAGAGAGTGATTATAGAATAGAATTATACTTGCCAAAAAATTTCTCAATCATGTTTGATTTGACCATCATTAATTTAAGCTTGAAAAAAATAGCAAAATAGTATTAGACTCAATCAAGTGTAAGAGGACAAGATTAAGAATGGTAGACTCAATTAAGATAATTAAAAGAAACTTGAATTGAATTGACCAAGCATTAAGTTATCCTCTTAAGCAAATATTCATTTCCAAGCAAAAAGTCATTACAATGTTCTCTCCATCCTTGATCAATAAGATTTTG